GCTTTCTCTGGCAATCACAAGGATCAAGGCGAACCGCTTGCGGCAAAAGCTCCTTGGTTTCCCTCCAGTAAGGGGTCGACTGGGCTGGACTAATTTGGAAACATTGGGAAATTTACTTTATACTTACTATTTTGTCTGGTTTTTGGTTTCTAGTCTTATTTTATTAGTAGCCATGATTGGGGCTATAGTACTGACTATGCATAGGACTACTAAGGTGAAAAGACAGGATGTATTCCGACGAAATGCTATTGATTCTAGAAGGACTATAATGAAGAGGACGATAGACCCACTCACGATCTACTAAAGGTATCGGAGATTGATTGGTTCGAATCCAATTCGTGAGATGGCAGTGATCTTTAGCCGGTCATGGCCATTCCAGAGGGACCAGCTTCGTGCGAATCAGCGGCCACCAAAATAGCAGAATCGTTAGGCGTTGGTGGTGGATTGAACCTTTAATTCATTCCTCTCAAGGCGGGATGGAACCGCAGCCCTTTTTCGTGGGAATCCTGCTTACACTGAAACCAGAGTATCGACGTTACAAGAATGATTTGGGATCGCAAAACATTATGAATCATTCTCCATCCCTATCGTTACTTTGACTTTTGTTTTCGAAACTTGCGTTTCTCCAAACTCAATCAAAGTGGGGGCTTCTGTAGAGACCCAAATGTGTCTCTCCAAAACAAAACCCAGTGATGAATACCTTTCATGTCATTTGATTATTGAACAAGGTGAAAGTGTTAAAAGTCTAGTGATGAGGATGTTTTTATTAAAATATCTCTTCTTTCTGTTTTTGAAAATATTTCTTTTCTTACCCTATATATGAAAAACGTGAATTCTAGTTTATTTTGGTCCATAAAAAGGGTCCAATAATAGTGTAATTGGATAGGGCTCGAAAAGATATTTTCAACGATATATTATAAGCCCAATTTCGATGAATAATGAGGAATTTATGACCAAAATAATAAACTGGGCTCGATTTGGTTCTTATATGCGGCCCAATGATCTAGAGGAGGGCCTATTATAAATTATCATTCCTAAATCTATTAGGATTGATTATAGTCTTCTAAAATAATCTAGAAGGTTCTCTTAAATCCTAATGGAATTAAGATTGATAATTACGTTTCAAAGAGTTTGAAATGTAATAAAACTACTCCTTTTGAGAATCCTTGTTTTGTATGAAATGGAATATATTCAGATATTATTTTTGTGCCTCATAATCTTTATCTAAATCTTAAATGTTTGGATAGATCTTAAAATTATCTTTCTAATTATATATTATAATATTAATTTCGAGCTATAACGAAAAAGATATGAATGAGATACGAAACTCTATCCAAAACTGACACCCTGACACTATTTCAGCCATATCTTTTAATCTACAAAATATTCTAATCTGATTCAAATTGGATTAGAAAGTAGACGCCAAAAATTTCCAATGAAATATTATATGACTTATTTGGACTTCTGGATCAAAAGCTATGATAAAAACAAAATCCGCAAAAACTGTCCTACATCGCCAAACAACAGGTTTGTCGCCTAGCGACAAAGCCTGTCACCTGGCGACAAAATTGTCGCCTGGAAACAAGTGCTATCGTTGGCGACAGAGGCGTGTTTGATTCCTTTTCGAACTCTGATTCGTTTCTATCGATTCCAGACTATTTTCTTATAAATATGGACCCTGGACCTCCGTTTTCAATCATCAAATCTTAACCAGAATTCTCTAATTCTCTTCTCTCTCTCTAAGCTAAAGCTTATTCTCTCTCTCCCTCTTTCTAGCCTAGCTTTTTACAAACACAATTCCTCACTCATTAGCACTAGACACACCTAGCCAAGTTCGAAGTTGCCTTCGCCCTAGACGTGAAAGGTTTGATATTTCTGAGGGTTTGGTCTCAAATCTCTATTTCAATTATTTAATTTAATTGTTTGATTTTATATTTTCCTTGAAGTTACTAATGTGTGTATTTTGTTATTAGAAAGAGGTACGAGGCATCCTAGTAAGTAATTTAATTGTTTAATTGATATTATGATATAGAAATCATGTTTAGGTTGTTATTTTGATTCCTAGTATCATATTAGGATGCTTTTCCTAGTATCATGTTAGGATTCTTTTCTTAGTATCATGTTTAGGGTAATAACTAAAATTCTAATATCATGTATGATTATGATGATGCTTCCTATTTTCTTTCCTAATATCATGTTAGTATCATGTTAGGGGTAAAGCTTTGATCTTTATTGTTTAGTGACATGCTAGGGTTTGTTATTAATCTTGTTAGTATCATGTCTAGGATCTTGCTATTATTATGTTTTATTTAAACATGAACATTATTATTTTAAGGAAATTTTGTCTAAAACCACCCGTCTAAAACTTATTTTTGTCAAAAACCACCCAAATTCGAATTTATGTTGCAGAAGAGCACCTGATCTGATATTCTGGCCTTGAATTGAATCTCCAGCGTCGACTCAGGTCACGTGAATGAACACGTGACTTTTAATGAGACCCCCCTTCTTTTTTGTTACTCTTCGAATTTTTTTGGCTTCCCTCTCTCTCCTCTTTTTATTTTCTCTCCTCTCGTTCCTCTCTATTCTCTCTGTTCTCTTAATTGAATCTTCTGCAAATTACAATGACGATTGGGCATGCTTCTTAATTGCGGAAGGTGAATCGATTAATTGCTGGGAGTTGTAATAGTGTAATTAACACTTAAAAGGTAAATTTTTTTCTACTTTTGACCTAATTTTACACCCCTTTTCTTTCCTGTTTTGGGTTTGTACGTTTGTGGGCAATTTTCTGATCAAGTTGAGTCATAATAAATGGGTAAAGATACAAATGGCAAAGGCAAGAAGGAATTTGAGAGGGAGGGGACCAAATGGGAGATAGTGCAGAAAGCAAGGTACTTTTTTTTAGTATAATAATCTGTTAATGGTGTGTTTTATCATTTTTTTTGTTGAATTAAATAGTTAATTACAGTCCTGCTCCACTAATTATACCCATGTGCCATTAATTAGTTGAATAAGTAACAATTATGCAAAGTAAAATGTGGTAATTGGTTCATTGTTTAAGGTAATTGTATATTGTGAAAATTGTGTGTTTTATCATTTGTTTTGTTGATTTTTTAAGCTTTAGTTTGGATTCCTAAATGTGTTAGTACTTAATGCATGTTGATTATTTAATTAGAAGTGTGATAATTTAATTAGTTGTTGCTCTTGTGTGTTGTTGTGTATCAGGTTCAATGGCATAAAATTCGTAGGTGTGCCTAGGTATAGATTTAAAATAGGACAAATGAATTTTAGGTTGTATTATGGTGGAGTTTTTGTGACAAATAAGAAGAAAAAGCAAACCACTTATGAACTGGACCCACTGGTTATCATGGCCTTAGTTTACACCCAAATGTAGAGGAGGTTTGTTACTTTGAGTTTGCTTACTGGATTAGGCATGAGTTGAAGTATGAGGATGTTGGTGAGATTTGGTTTAGGAGGAAGAATTGTACCTTATTTACTGGGAGGGAGCAGATAAAGAATGATAAAGATATTCCTAACCTGCTGGAATCTCCTGAGAGTGATGGGTGGTACAACTTGTATGTTGTACATCATGAGAGAGGAATTGAGGGTGGGGAAGGGAAAAGCCAAGAGGAGGGGCCATGTGAAGATGACTATGATGATGACTTTCAGGAATATGAGAATCTTGACAATGTTGAGGACTGGTTTGATTTACAACAGCTGGTGGGTTTGGATAAAAAGAGAAAGGGTAAACTTAGTGAGTCATCAAGTGAGAGGGGCCCACTTTGTGCACTTGATAACCTTAGATCTGGTAACACAGATTCACTCATATCTTCAGCTCCTAACCACCCTTGTACCTCATCCATTAACCAAAAACAGCCAATTAAAAACCCTTCCTCAACTAGAAAAGGGAAACCAAATGTGAGATCTAAGAAATGGAAGGCTAGTGAGGACTTTTGTAATGCAGAATCATTGGTTGAGAAGGAGGCTGGTAGTAACTAGAATGGCTATGAATCTGGTTTAGATGAGGGGAGTGATGTGGATTTCAGTGAAGAAGACTGGGAGGATCAAGAAGATGATGATTTGTTTGCAGCTAATATAGATGAAACCATAACTGAGAGAATAACAACGATTTTGGGTGGTAGTCAGTCACTACAAATCTACCAACCTCAAAATAAGGAGCAGGTAGTAGAGGATGAAAATGGTTTAATAGACTTGGGGGTAGAAGATGAGGTAGATTTAGGTGAATCTAATGATAATGTTGAGAGTTTGGCTGACTCAGATGATGAGAAGGGGATTCACTATCATGCTTTTAACCCAGAAGTTGACTTTAAGGACAAAATAAAGTTGAGCTTGGGGTTAAAATTCCCATAAGTAGATATATGTAGGAAGGCTCTGAGGTATCATGCAGTGGAGAATGGGTACAACTACTATTTCCTACATAATGACAATAACAAGGTAAATGTGTTTTGTGTGCATAAATGTGAGTGTAATTGGAAGCATTCAAGGATTGTGAGATGCAAATGTGATAGCAAGAGAAAGTGCAGATTTAAGGTGCACTGTAAGAAGATAAAAGGTGAGGCTACAATTCAAATAAGGACTCTGAACTTGAATCATGAGTGTGGGAGGCAGCCTGAAAACAACAAGGTGAGTGCTCTGTATTTGGTAGAGAGATTCTTAGAGGAGTGGAGAAATACACCCAGTTGGAAGCTTAGAGACTTCATAGTCAGAGCTAGGAGAGTGACTGGTGTAAGTCTAGGATACTACATATGCTATAATGCAAGGCAAATTGCAATGAATATGATCCATGGTGATGCTGCACATCAGTATTGGAGGGTTTGGGATTATGCTGAAGCCATTAAATAGTTTAATCCATGTAGTACAGCTGTAGTGAAGTGTGTTGGAATAGAGAATCCACCTCCCATATTTCAGAGAATGTATATATGTTTTTAGCCATGTAAGGAAGGATTCATGGCTGGGTGTAGGCCAATTTTGGGTGTGGATGGATGCCATTTGAGGGAACTTGTCCCTGGATTTGCTTGACAGCAGTGGCAAAAGATGGTAACAACAACTTGTTTCCTGTAGCTTGGGCTATTGTGGAAACTGAAAATGCAGAGACTTGGGAGTGGTTTATAGAGCTACTTGTCACTTACCTGGGAAATGTGGGTCAAGATGTGACATGGAAAAGACAAGGAGTGGAGCCTGTGACATTTATGTCTGACAGACAAAAGGTTAGTGTACATAACCCTTTCCTATTTCAAGTTCAACTGTCTGTTTTTTAGTATACTGTGTGATTAAGTTGTGATGTGATTGCAGGGGCTATTAGAAGCATTCAACAAGGTCATTCCCAGGGATGAAATAAGGTTTTCCTGCAGACATATTTGGGCCAAGTTCAAATTGAAGTTCCCTAGTCAGCTATATAAGCAATATTTTTACATGGCTGCAAGATCCACAACAAAGGTACAAAGTTGATTATTATTCAGTAACTTGAATCATGTGTCTGAATCTGAACTTAGGAATGATTAGTGTCTTATTTTAACTTGAATCATGTGTTTGAATTTGAACTTGGTAATGATTAGTGTCTTTTTTTTAATTTTAGTTTCATTTCAACCAACAAATGGAAGCTATCAAAGTGTTGTCAGTAGATGCTTTTAATTATTTAAACAACATTCCAGCTTGCCATTGGTCAAGACATGCATTTAGTAGTAGATGCAAATCTGGAATGTTGCCCAATAATTGCTGTGAGAGCTTCAACAATGTCATAAGGGAAGCTAGGTCCATGCCTATATTAGGAATGCTAGAGTGGATAAGAAGGTGGCTTATGAGAAGGTGTTGTGCAAAGAGAGATGGGCTAAAGCAGTTTGATAGTTTGATCATGCCCTCAGTGGTCAAAATGGTTGGAAGGGCTAGTGAACAAGTCATCAAGTGAGATGTTACACAAGTTGATGTTCATGAATTTGAGGTGGACCATGTGTCCACTGGGGAAACCTATGTGGTAAACTTGCAAAACAGAACATGTGGGTGCTTTAGGTGGGAGTTAATGGGTATACCATGCTATCATGCTCTAGCTTGCATTGCTAAGCGAAGATACAACTTGGAGGACTATGTGCACCCAGCATATCATGTTGCCACATATGCTAAGTCATATGCCCCCTCCTTTCACCACATGCCTGGAAAAAAATCAATGGCCACAAACCACCTTCCCAGAGCCACTCCCACCTGCTTTTAAGAAGCTTCCAAGAAGACCTAAGGGCAAGAAGAGAATAAAGGAGCCAGGGGAGGGAGAAGAAGCTAACTATGTTCAAAGTCAGAAGAAGCAAATCATGTGTAAGAACTGTGGTCAGTTTGGGCATTACCAAAAGACATGTAAAAATCCACATGTCCCACCACCACCACCACCACCACCTCCTGTCAACAAGGGTGGTAGACCAAAGAAGGGAGCCCCTTAAACAAAAAGCACCACAAGAGCAGCAACAACAACTGTATCAACAATAACAACACTAACTCCAACTTCCCTGCAACCATCTTCAGCAGCAAGAACTCAAGCAACAGCAGCCCCATCAACAGGTTCAAAGAAAAGAGCACCTGCAAATTCTTCCAAGATTGCAAACACTACAAAGCAGCAATCTGTAACTCCAGCACCTGTTCCTAAAAGAAGCTACTAAAAAAGACAGAAAACCAATGGGTAAACATCAACCTCAGTTCAATGCTCTCAAGCAAGCTGCACAATTCAACCATCACAAGCCTCTAACTCTTGATCTAATATGTGTTTGAATTGTTAATTGTACTAAGTTTTTTGAGCTAGGATAAGCTTTTGAACAAATTTCATGGTACTTTTGTTATGTATGACAACAATTACAATCAAGTTATATGCTAAGTAACAAGTAATTATTTGCTTATATGTAGTGCAAGTAAGAATTGCAAAATATTATGACAAATCATAAGGTATTTCATTACTTTCTTAATACATCCTACAAACACAAACTACTACAAGTTCTACTAGATTAGGGATATAAATTTCAGTACTCAAACTAACTTAATACAACCTACTGCCCACATCAACTAGATTAGGCCACTAATTTGACCATAATAAAACTAAGAAGCATAGACATTACAACACAAACTGACATAGTCATTCTTATGTTGTCACCAGATTCATTCCTTCTTTTCTTCAACTTCAACTTTAATTTGTCAAGTTCTTCCTTCAATATCCTTTTCTCATTCTATGCACAACACAACCTTGTTTGTAGAACACTGACTTCCCCTTTTAGCAGCTGCTTGTTAGATAAAATTAGGTTTAGTGCATCTCGTTGCCAATTGGTCATATCTTCATCAACCCAACGAAAAAATTTGCAACCCCTCTGGTTTGTACTTAGATTGTAGAACTTGCAGGTTTCGAATCTTCTCCTAGGGTTTTCATGAGTCCAAGACTTCAACCTTGCAATTGGAACACCGCATCCGCACTTAGTGTTTGCTGGAGATTGCGACATTTCACCTGAATTTTCAACATTTCAATTATTTAGCAAAGGTAAACCCTAATTTTCGCAAAATATGACAAAATCAGAAACCACCTCAATAATGAATTCAAAATTAAAGTTTCTGGAAGGTTGTTATTCAGAATTCAACAATGGCTGGTGATAATTGGAGCACTCAAAGAGCAACAATGGTGTTTGATGATAACAGAGAGAACATAGAGAAGAGAGAGGAACAAGAGGAGAGAGAATAAAGAGAGGAGAGAGAGGGAAGCCAAAAAATTCGAAGAGTAAAAAAAAATAAAGGGGGGGTCTCATTAAAAGTCACGTGTTCAGTCACGTGACCTGAGTCAACACCGGAGATTCAAGTCAAGGCCGGAGTATGAGATCAGGTGGTCTTCTTCAACATAAATTCGAATTGGGGTGGCATTGGGCAACATTTTTTTTCGGGTGGTTTTTGACAAAAACAAGTTTTTGACGGGTGGTTTTAGACAAAATTTCCTTGTTTTAGTTATGAATATTATTATTTTTCATATTACTATTATGTTTCTTGATATTTATTGTTATTGCTTGATCACACCTTTTATGCACGTTTAAAGGGAATTGGTACTTGTAATCACGCTTAATAAGATAAATAATAATCTTGTTTAGGTTAATTTGATTATAATTCAAGTGATCGCCAATAATAGATTTATTTGTGCATTAATATTCAACTAACGTAGATTAAACAGGTTTAGGGTTAACCTATTAATTGCATGTTAGTCAGAAAGCGCACAAGAATACGAGAAGAATAAAGTAGAGGCCTATTATTAGGGCGAGTTCTTTCTCTTTTAGATTGGATTTGTACCTTCATCCCCGAACTTCCAGTCTTGGTTCTAGACCTATTGGAGTTAACGATCTTTTGGATAGTTAAGGGGTGTAACCTTCATCCTATGAATGGTTTACAAGTTCTTAAAACTTTTTGGCAACTCTTTTGCTCTAGCTTTCTTCCATTTGGACGCCATCATGCTTAAGTGTATGATCAAGGTGGGGTTCAAGTTTGGGGTAATGTTTGAAATATTCCCTACAGTAATGTAACCATCACTTAAGGTAAATAATGTAAGATTTGTATTTTACATATATTAACCATGGATACTACCAATTTCTTACTTGGTAATTTCCCTTAACTTATGGAATATAAATATTTGATACCCGTAATAGTTGGTAATGTAAACTAATCTTGTTGTACATACACCACCATGTAAAGTAAAAAAAGCCTACATCATGAGCTAGTATCACATTGTGGAGGAAATTTACGTACGCTGGTAATTTAAGTTGAATTTACTCTATTAAACTGTTAATTATTTTGTTGAGGAAAATATGTTACTAAATTCACTATTACCAACATTGTATTTTAATTTTTAATTTTCTTTTAATATGTCAATTTATAGTTTTAAATATTCTGCTTTCTCAATATATTTACTGAAATGCTCCCAGATTAACAAAAAAAAAACTGTTTATCTAGCAGATAATCTAGTATTTGCCGATATAAAAAATGGCAACAAGCCCATTACTGTTCCAAAAAATGCTACATCTTAATACAAAATGCCAGAAATTGACTTGACTATTTTGTATGTAATCCGAGGTCTTGAGTGATTTCGGTGTACGTATCAAATGAATTTTGGTACTCACTTTGAAACCCTTGCATGAAGTCATTGAAGTTGCTCCTTGGATTTCTTATAACAACGAGTGACCATAACTGTAATTATTGGATGAATCCAATTAATTAAGAACATAGTCATCTATATATTAAAAAAATAAAAAAATAAAAAAGGGAGTCATGTATAATATATACACAATTTAAGGTAAATAAAGGTAAGATCTGTATTTCTTAAGTGAAATACAGATTCTTCCAATTTCTGTGTTGGTAATTGCCCTTAACGTAAAGAATACCTATGTATACATGAGCCAACATGCATGATCGAGGACATTTTGTTGCTCAATCATTATGGCTCATGTTGACGAGGGGAAAACTAGGTCGTTATCTAATCTTCCCTCGGTCAAACTAAATTTATAAACACTTAACAAAACTAAATACTAGTATGGAGGCAAGTCATGGGTCGAACCCAAAGGAACAGTAAAATGCTTTCAATTATGCGCCTAAGCTAGGTCGAAATCGAAGGTAAGATGAACAATAACAACTAACAAAACAAGCAACCAAACAAAAAAAAACACTAGGAATGGGGATCAACAAGTAATCATGTCAATAGCAACAACTTGGGAAGATCATGCCAATCAAAGGTTGTGAAGACTAATGATAAGAGCAATCAATTGCAATCAAAGAGCTACCTCCTAATTGTTAAGCTAGGGTTCACTATGAATAACAAACTAAGAGAATCACAATCAAAACCAATCGATAATGTCAATTCCTAAATCAATTGTTCGTGTCATTAGCAATTACAATGCAATCTAGCATAATTCTCAAGGCCGAATCGAATTACACACATGCAAATCTTCATTAATCACTTTAATCTCAACAATCAATCAACACAATTCCCAAATTAATCACAATAAATTAATCATAAAAATTTCACCCAATTCCTAGCCAAACAACTACTCAAACATCATCATTAATCAACAATCAACTAAAGGAATTAAGAATCAACAAAATATGGATAACAATTGCACTAATGAACCATTAAACATAAAAATCAAATCAAACAAGCATGAAATTAAACAAAGAAATAAGGTGAGATAGAGTTAAGAATGCTCAATGATAATAGAGAAGATATTCAACACAATTGTCACCCTTGTATCTTCAATCTCTCAATCACCACTGAAATCCTTCACTTTCTCTCTCTAAAACTACTCCTAATCTAGAGAGAGGAACTACTAATATACCCTAATCCTCCTTAGAGGAGAGAGAAAACTATTCTAATCTAAATAATTTCATGTACGAAGAATAAAGAAGGTCGTACAATATATAAACAAAATGAATAAAAGAAGTTAAATCGCAAGTAAAACCACGAAACCCGCGCCTGTAGAGAAATCGGCCGCACCCGCGGAGGAGAACAGAGCACGAGGGAAGCTGCACCCGCGGGGCTAGGGACCGCGCCTGCTGGGGGCCCTCAGCCAGCCCTCGGAAAGTTCCTGGTCGGATTTGGCTGCTTTTGATGCACAGTCCCCCTCGACCGCGACCAGCGGACTTGCGTTCGCGGCCAGCCTGCGACTGCTGGGTGATGCGGCCTTGGTGCGTGGCTGTTGCTCGGGGCTTGACGGCTGCTGCTTCGCTGCTTTGGTGCGGTTGCTCGGGGCGGCGTCAAGGCACTAATGTTTGCTGAGCTTCCTTGGTTGGCTTGACTTGCATGCTTAGCTTCCCTAACTTGACTCCGTTAAATTCCTTGAATGTACTTGAGCTCCCTCCTTGATTATTAAATCTCGGGGAACTCGACATACCTAAAAAACAAGTCAAATAAACAGAGAAGCGAGAGAGATAGCCGAGAAATGAATAAAATAATAAGGAAACCTTAAATGCACGCATTTCTCTAAACTTACACACCAACACGCAAATCAAACATTATTCCCTAAAAAGACGATAAACGACTAAAAACGAGCATAAAAATATGAAGAAAACCTAGCCTAAGAGTGCTATAAATGGCATGCATCAAATTCCCCTAAGCTAAACTTTTGCTCGTCCTTAAGCAAAATAAAATCTAACCCAAGGGAAAAATGATGACATTATTCAAGCAAAGAAAGAAACAAGAAAACTAGAGAGGATGGGAATATACACTAAATCACTTTCGTAGGAATCACGATCAATTTTAGCAACTAAAGACAAGGAATTTAAACCCCTTGATCGCCCAAGAGAACGAGTGATTTTCTCATTCTCACCTTTTTTTTTCATGTATTCAAAGCAAATGTCCTCGCCTCTTATAACTTTGGACGACTTTTTTCTATTTTGCATTTATTATGTCCTTACCTCTTTTGACTTTGGACGA